CTGAGCACCCCAAATGGACATCCCAGTCAATGGCACCCAAGGGTTCCCATGGGGGTGCCCCAAGGACCTCTGACCATGGGAGCACCCCAAGCAATCCGGGAGGTGCCCTGAGCACCCCAAATGGGCCCCAGGCGCCCTGTGTGGGTGCTCCAAGGATCCCAAGTCCGGATGGGTGCCCCAACCCAATGGGGGTCCCAAGGGACGTCCAGGAGCCCCACATGGGTGCCCTGAGCACCCCAAATGGACACCCCAGTCAATGGCACCCCAAGGCTCTGGGGGTGCCCCAAGGTCCTTCGGGGACCCCCGAGCGGCTGCTCCCACCGCGGGGGGGTCCCCGGAGCCCCCCGGGCGGCGCCGCCCCCGTCGCCGTCGCCGTCGCCGCGGCGGTGACGCCAGAGCGGGGACCTTGCACGGCGGCGCCGGGCGATCATTAACCACGGCCTTGGCGCGCCGCTAATTGCAGCCCGGGCTCGTTAGCGCAGCGGGTGGTTGCGGCCCGGGGTCAGTGCACGCGGCGCGGTGCAGGAGTCCAGGGGCGCGTCCACGTGTGCGAGGGGCACCCATGGGTGCAGGGCGCCCTGCGGCGGCGCATGCGCCCGGGCACCGGCACGGAGGCGCCCGCAGGGACGGGGGAGACGCTGCAGCAAACGCTGCAGCCAGCGGCATGCAGCGAACGCTGCAGCCAGCGGCATGCAGTGAATGCTGCAGCCAGCGGCATGCAGTGAATGCTGCAGACACCAACATGCAGCGAACGCTGCAGCCAGTGGCATGCAGCGAACGCTGCAGCCAGCGGCATGCAGTGAATGCTGCAGMCAGCGGCATGCAGCGAACGCTGCAGMCAGCGGCATGCAGTGAATGCTGCAGCCAGCGGCATGCAGYGAAYGCYGCAGMCAGCGGCATGCAGYGAAYGCTGCAGCCAGCGGCATGCAGYGAAYGCTGCAGACAGCGGCATGCAGYGAAYGCTGCAGCCAGCGGCATGCAGTGAATGCYGCAGMCAGCGGCATGCAGCGAACGCTGCAGCCAGCGGCATGCACTGCATGCTGCAGATACTGACATGCAGCGAATGCTGCAGACACCAACATGCAGCAAATGCCGCCCTGTGCAGATGCTTGCAGCGTGTGTGGGGCCACGGGGGTGCAGGATGCAGGGATGCGGGATGCAGGGACACAGGGGTGCAGGATGCAGGGATGCGGGATGCAGGGACACAGGGCCACGGGATGCAGGGACATGGGGTGCAGGAACATGGGGATGCGGGATGCAGGGACACGTGGATATGGGGATACAGGGACACGGGGATATGGGGATGCAGGGACACGGGGCTGCGGGATGCAGGGACATCGGGGTGCAGGATGCAGGGACAGGGGGATGCAGGGACATGGGGATGCAGGGACACGGGGGTGCAGGATGCAGGGACAGGGGACACGGGGATACAGGGACATGGGGATGCAGGGACACGGGGGTGCAGGATGCAGGGATGTGGGATGCAGGGACACGGGGCCGCAGGATACAGGGACATGGGGACAGGGGGATGCAGGGACATGGGGATACAGGGATGCAGCAGCACTCACCGGTGCTGGTGATCATGACGGTGGCCTCGGCGGCGGCGAGCGCGTGGCGCAGCGCGCGGCCCCGCGCGTTGCTGTTGACGCAGGCCATGGCGC